CTCCTTTATGCTTCCACTCCTTCGTGAGAGATACGAGACCGGTGCGTTGTGCAGGTGTCGCTCATCAGTAATCACGCCACCGGCCTCGCACCGCTCTCTCACGGCCCTCGTCCTCGTCCTGCTCGCCACAACTACCTTGGTAGTCCGGTGCCTTCGCGTTGTTGTCACCCTCTTCCATGTGGATTCCATCTGATCTTGCACACAACACAATAGCACAACACAACTCACTGTCGCCAAATCGTCTCCGCTGTCGCAAACCTCAACTGTGCGCATGCGTTAGTGGAACCAGACAATAGGCTTAAATGTTTCCCGGCTTGACTGTTAAAAGCAGACGATTGGCTTTCCAGCGGGAGGGGCGGGACATGTGCATACAACCGCCATCTTTGACGCTACGGGTTTTCCCTATATAATGGTATTGAGGATTGAGGAAGTGGCATGTCTCTATATAAATTGTCTCTGGTTCAACCCAAGCGCTCTTTGATAACGTGATGATTACGTAAGATCATCTGTCCATCATCGTATAAAGCCCGCCCTGGCAATTTGATTGGCTCGACGATTTCTGAACCGATCATAATTACTCCTCAATGGATCGAGTCCAGACCGAACTTCCCGTCCAAAAAATGTTGTGGGTGGGGTTCGGGCTGGCATCCAGGCTAATTTAATGGTATTAGATGATTTGTTTATTGCATCTAATAGATTACACCTGTTTTGTAAAAGGTGTTTTTAATGCATGTTTTGAGTTGAGTTGTCATAGCATTTACATCGTTCTGACAAGCAAGCATCACCAGCGTGTGGCGTTTCGAATGCTGTAAATCATTTTGCGAAGTAATCGTTTCAATTGAGTCAAAGTTTTGAAAGCTTTGTTTTTCTCATCACAAACAGCAAATAACAAAATTAAAATAAACAATACCAGACAATGACTTGAGTTGACATCAACATAAGGTAGTTATAAACAAAGCTAGACAAAATGAGAGCTATTGCTGCATTCACGTCATGTCATAATTACCGTAGTCTTGAAATAATAGATATGTATATGTAGAATCCACATTCGACCGTTCCAAATACGTCGCTCAACCACCATCTTGGAATCGTCAACGTGTCTTCATTCACATTAAGAATGTATGATGCCACAACATTGCACAGTTTCTGGTTGTTAAACCACCAAGATTTAAATTATAAAGAAAGTGGATAACCTTTCACAGGTGAGAATGTGTTGGTTTGTGTTTTTATATGTATTCAATCAATATTACAGGTTTTTATATACCGGTAGTAACTTTTTAATATCTTGTTAGCTGACGCCTTTGTCGTGTTGTATTGTGTTAGTTTAGCAAAGTCATCTACTGAAGTCTGTTGCATATATAAATATCCAAACATGCATCTAACTACGGTTGCAGACACACAGTGAACTTGCTCTCGAATGTTCACGAACAGGCTTCGACCGTTCCAATATGGCGAATGTCTTGCATATAGCGGTCCATAGAAACAGCCGCTAATGAGGAATCTATGTATATATCTATGCTTGAGATGACAACGCTTGACATTCTATTCAGAGCTGTTCACGTCCTTGGACTGGGATTTATGTGTTTCTATGGCAACACTGCCAAACTGAATCTGCAGTGGCCATGTGGTACAGGTAGGAGCTCTCAGAAAATTCCCATCTTATAAGATTTTTACAAGATTTTTTTGCTGTCGGTTTTATCACACTGATGTAAGTTCAAGTGTCCGTTTTTAAAATAAGTTTGTTTTTAGTTAGTTACGTGATGCTATAAAAACGGTGGTATAACATGATTGACAGCTGTGATTGACAGGGTCTCTGAGCGAAGTAGTCATAGAAGAAGCACCAACGGACTTTTTTCGGGATCTTAGGAGGACTCAGGAGATTGTATTTACTTTATTTTAAAAAGCCTCTTGTCGTACTGCAATCAACAGACATCAAAATTGGAGCAGAACGGAGGAACGGAGCAGCCCTAGGCTACTTAAAAAAGTGCAGGGCAGTTCATTCTGCGAGAGTGAGGGCGGAGCGTTGATTTCGCGGTTTTACTTCCTGCTCGCTACTGCGCAGGTCTGGTCCCGAGATCGCTACTGCGCAGACTCAAGTCCAAAGATGTCAGCGTCATATCGGGACACTGGCGGCTTCACTTCTCACCAATGGAAGAGAGCGAAGGGGCATCGTCCATCTTTTTTTACAGTCTATGTTCCTAACCGACGACGAAGACTTGACAGAGCAGCCATCAAGTGTTAGACAGTATTCTAGGTTAGTATGTGAGGAAGTTTTTCGTCCAATAATTAGAATCTCTGTTTTTTTTCAGAATTAAAGCAGCACTAAGTAGGAATTCCGTTTTTGTCAAACAGCGACCCCTAGAGTCGCTGTGGAGTACTTGTACTGTCGTGAATAGCACTCACGCAGAGATGGCTCTCCACTCACGGCCGGATCCCCTCCCCTATACACCGGTACCTGTTCAGTAGGATGGATGCTGTAACGAGTGGAAATAAGGTATGGCCCCTTTAAGAGTTGCGCGCGCCCTGTTTAACTGTCGGCAGTCTGTATTGTATGTGCGCCTCGAACACCACATGTATACGGCGCCGGGTTATTTCTGTTTGATGCTCATTTTATCAGAATTTTATCAGATCTGTTTTTTTGCCGTAAAGCAATTCGTTACCTCGCGAGACCTGATATCACACCATACTTCCTAACACTGAGGCCGGCGGCCCGCTGGCCCAAAGTTGCAAGGGTGGTTTTGCGGCTCACAGGCACTAGGGGGGTGCGAGACGACCACCATTCAACACGAAATCAGTAATATAAACATTACAATGACTCCAAAGCTGTTCAGTTAAGGTAAAAAAGTTACATAGTTCACCTTTAAGTAGTAGGAAATTACTAGGCATCCAGTTTTTTATATCAGCTATGCATTCCGTTAATTTTGTGAATTGGTAAGTTCCGTCAGGGCGTAAAGAAATATAGAGCTGAGTATCATCAGCATAACAGTGAAAACTAATGCCATGCTTCCTAATGATATCTCCTAAGGGTAGCATGTACAGAGTGAACAGCAACGGTCCTAGTACTGAGCCTTGTGGTACACCATACTGAACTTTTGATCGATAAGACATCTCTTACTGCTACAAACTGATAACGGTCAGATAAGTATGATTTAACCCATGCTAATGCAATTCCACTAATGCCAACATAAGTCTTTTTAAAAAAATGTTGTGGTCAATGGTATCAAATGCAGCACTAAGATCGAGTAACACTAATAGATTCAACCACGATCGGATGATAAGAGCAAATCATTTGTGACTCTGATGAGAGCTGTCTCAGTACTATGGTACGGTCTAAATCCTGACTGAAAATCCTCGCAGATACCATTTATTTCTAAAAAGGAACATAGTTGTGAGGATACTACCTTTTCTAGTATCTTTGACAGAGAAGGTAGATTCAAGATCGGCCTGTAATTGACTAATTCTGTAGGATAAAGTTGCGTTTTTTTAACAAGCGGTTTAATCATAGCCAGCTTAAAAGTTTATGGTACGTATCCTAATGACAAAGATGAATTAATGATATTAAGAAGAGGATCTATGACCTCTGGAAGCATATCTTTCAATTGCGTAGTCGTATAGGGTAAACATACTTGTTGTCGATTTAGATGATTTAACGAGTTTAGAAAATTCTCCCTCTCCTAAAGCAATGAATGAATCAAATATTTCCTCAGGGAGACTACAATGCACTGCCTGATGCGATACTGTCGTAGATGGTTGCATAATTATAATTTTCTCCCTAATATTATCAATCTTGTAAGTAAAAAAGTTCATAAAGTCATTACTGCTGTGCTGCTTGGAAACGTCTGGGGTTGAAGCTTTATTTTTCGTTAATTTAGCCACTGTTTCAAATAAATACCTAGGGTTTTGTTTATTTTCTTCCAATTGAAAGTTGAAAAATAAGCAGATCTAGCAGCTTTTAAGGTCTCTCTGTATGCAATTGTGCTCTCTTTCCATGCAATGCGAAAAAACGCATAGTTCTAGTTTTGTTTTCTTCCAGTTGCACTCCATTTTTCTGGCTGCTCGTTGTACCACGGCGTTGGACTATCTTCTTTAAGCGCAAAGGAGCAACTGTGTCTAAAGTGCTGGAAAAGAGAGTCAAACGTTTCTGTCGCAATATCGAGTTCTTCTAAGCTATCTGGGATGCTGAGGAGATGAAACTGATCAGGAATAGTATTAATAAAGCGATCTTTAGTGGCAGAAGTGATAGGTCTAACATATTTGTAACACAGAGTCGACTCTGCAGCCTTGGCTAAATGAAGTATACACGAGACTAGATAATGATCTGAGACGTCATTGCTCTGCTGTAGAATTTCAACGGCATCAACACTGATTCCATCCGATAATATTAGATCTAGAGCAGAGGTCCCCAACTGGCGGACCCCAATACCTTTTTATCCGGACCTCTAAACATTTTTGTTAAAAAGTTTTGGAAAAAAAATAAAAATTAATTTTTACCGAAAGTAATTTTTGAACAGGTGTGCGCGCGGGCAGCTATGTCTGTGTCAGGTCCTTTGCAAGAGCCAGGGTCCGGAGAGATCACAAACTTTGGCTTGTACACACATTACTATGATATTCGTGAATGGATTATTATGGCTTTGTCAAAAATGAGAAAAGTGGACTCTGAAAACCGCATCTTTCGAGATGAGTGGACTGAAGCGTACGCGTTCATTTTGCCGTCATCGAGCTCTACGAGGCCCGTGTGTCTTATTTGTTCGGAGTCTGTTGCTGTTGTTAAAAGTGGAAACATCAAGCGGCATTTCGAGACAAGACACAAAACTTTCAATGAAAATTACCCGCCAGGATCACCCGCGAGGACGAGGAAAATTTGTGAACTGAAAGGACAGTATGAGCGTGCAACACGGGTGATAACACAGTCCCTTACAGCACAGCAACGAGCCTACGAGTGCTCACTTCGAGTACAGTGGATTTTGGGCAAACATAAAAAGCCTTTTACGGACTCCGGAATGGTGAAAGAATGTATGGAGGCGTTGGCAGACACGCTGTTTGAGGGTAAAGAAGGACAGCAGCTAAAACAAAAGGTTCGTCAGATTCCTTTATCATTCACAACAACAACAAGAAGAGCTGAGCTACTGTCGGAAGATGTGCAGTCCCAGCTTGACAGCGCCATCCAAAGTGCCCCGTGCATTGCGTTAGCTGCTGATGAATCAACTGACGTAAGTGACAACGCTCAGCTCTTGGTGTATGTCCGATTCTATCATGAGGAGACTAAAACATTTGTAGAGGACATTTTAGGCGTCACAGCTTTAAAAACGCACACCAGGGGAGAGGACATATATTTGGCCATAAAGGAAATGCTGACAGAGAGGAGAATCGATGTAAAAAATGTTGTCTCCATCACCACTGACGGGGCACCGTCTATGATGGGAAGAGAAAAAGGTGCAGTCAGTCGACTGAAAGAGGACAACCCAGAGCTCTTGTCATATCACTGCATTATCCACATGTCTGTTCTCTGCTCCACACTTTCAGAGCACCACGCAGAAGTTATGAACACCATCACCAAACTAGTTAACTTTCTCAGGGCTTCATCAGCTCACCAGCATCGTCTGCTCAGGGAGTTTTTAGCAGAAGTAGATGCTCCTGCCAATGACCTGCTCTTGCACTCCAATGTCAGATGGTTGAGTAAAGGGAAAGTGCTGGCTCGCTTTTGGAAGATAAGAAAAGAAATTAAAGATTTCCTTGCACAACAAAAAAATCACAAGGCTCAGGTGTTTTTGCACTTTTTAGGAGAGGAAAGTAACATGGACACACTGGCCTTTCTGGTTGACATCACAGGGCATTTAAATGACCTCAATCTGAAGCTTCAAGGGAAAGACAATTCTGTGTGTGACTTGGTGGCTGCAGTCCAGTCTTTTCAGAGGAAACTGGACATTCTGAAAATGGATCTTGAGCAGGACTGTACACATTTTCCTTCAATGAAGGAGATACAGGAGATCAATGTCACTGCTCATTCTGACTTTATCCAAAAGTTGATTGAAAACTTTAAGGCTCGCTTTGATGGCTTTGCATTGGGAGATCAGCTGATGCTCTTTGTTAGGAGTCCATTTTTTGTTAAGAATGTTATTTCTTTCTCAAAGGAGGCAGTACATATGTACAAATGGGCTAATGCACAGGCCCTTCAAATGGAGCTATTAGATTTACAGGCTGATGTAGTGTTGAGAGAGCAATGTGAATCCTCTGACCCTGTCACATTTTGGCTGCAGACTGTGCCAAAGGCAAAGTTTCCTGTTTAACAAAGTGGCTGTGTACACATTAACAATGTTTGGCTCTACCTATAGCTGCGAGTCAGCCTTCTCTACGCTAAACATCATTAAGAATAAGTACCGCTCACAACTGACCAATGACCATGTGCATGGATGTCTGAGAATTGCTTTGACTCCATTCCTACCCAGATTTAAGAGATTGGCTGCCAGTGCCAATGCAAATTTCTCACACTGAGCTAAGTTTAAAAACTTGCTTGTTTACAAAAATGTTTACTTTATTTTTTGTTGCACTAATAGAAGTATTGTTTAACATTTTTTTATATAATGCATTATGAGGTGCATTGTTTGTTCCCTTTTGCACTTTTGAAGTGCAATGTTTGCACGTTTATGTGAAATAGCAGCTGTTCACAACACTGAATGCATTTTTCTTTGAGTAGTTATGAAGGTAAATCATTTGCACCTAATATATTAAGATTGTGACTTTCAGTCTTTATTTTTATGGTTACTGTTGCTGTTATTGATGTTGAAAGGTTTTACATTTGAATATTTGCACTAAAATGAAATAATACTTGAATGAATTTCAACAAAATCAGTTGAATACATTTAAAGAAAGATTTTATTGTCAAAGGTTTTATTTTCATTTTGTTGCACTAATAGAAGTATTGTGTATTTTTTTACTTATATAATGCATTATGAGGTGCATTATTTGTTCCCTTTTTGCACTTTTGAAGTGCAATGTTTGCAAGTTTATGTGCAATAGCAGCTGTTCACAACACTGAATGCATTTTTCTTTGAGTAGTTATGAAGGTAAATCATTTGCACCTAATATATTAAGATTGTGACTTTTAGTCTTTATTTTTATGCTTCCTGTTGCTGTTATTGATGTTGAAAGGTTTTACATTTGAATATTTGCACTAAAATGAAATAATACTTGAATGAATTTCAACAAAATCAGTTGAATACATTTAAAGATAAAGATTTTATTGTCAAAGATTTTGTCAATTTGTTGACATGGTTACAATTTAATAAAATGAAAGAACTTATTTTGCCGGGTGTTTTTGCATGTCCGGACCCTCGTTTACTGGGCTGATCGGGTTAGTGGACCTCTTGCCAATTTAGTTTGGGACCCCTGATCTAGAGTATGATTACGACAATGATTAGGTCCTGACACGTGTTGTCTAGCTCCAATAGAGTTCAGAATGTCTTTAAATGCCAATCCCAATGCATCTTTTTCGTTATCTACATGTATATTAAAATCACCAACAATTAGGACTTTATCTGCAGCCAGTACTAACTCTGAAAGAAAATCAGCAAATTATTTGATAAAGTCTGTATGGTACCCTGGTGGCCTGTATACAGTAGCCAGCACAAATCTCAAACGTGATTTATCATTTACTCTAGATAGTGTTACATTAAACACCAACACTTCAAAATAATTATATTTAAAACTAGACTTCTCAGTAATTCTGAAGATATTACTATAAATTACAGCAACACCTCCCCCTTGCCTTTCAGACGAGGCTCATGTTTATAACAGTAATCTTGCGGGGTGGACTCATTTAAAGTAATGTAATCATCTGGTTTTAGCCAGGTTTCTGTCAAACACAGCACATCTAGGTTATAATCTGTAATCATACCATTAACAATAAGTGCTTTTGAAGTAAGGGATTGAATATTCAGCACCCAAGCTTTATCATTTGTTCATCCGTATTATTTCCGCTTTTTATTTGTTGAACATCAATTACATTTTTACCCTTGAATGGGTTTAGGAGTTTTTTGTATGTCCTAATTCGGGGAACAGACACAGTCTCTATATTATGATATCTAGGTGAAATAATCTCTATGTGATGGGATTTATCTGACCTCAGTGACGTGAGACAGCTACCAGAAGGTCGGTTTAGCCAGTCTGTCTGCTTCCTGACCTGAGCCCCAATTCATGTTTGAGCTCTAAGACTATGTGCCATATTACTAGAGAGAAGAGCAGCACCATCCCAGGAGGGATGAATACCATCTCTTTTCAACAGGTCAGGTCTGCCCCAAAAACTTTTCCAATTGTCTATGAATTCTATATTATTTTGCGGACACCACTTAGAACAGACAGCCATTGAGTGAGCACAGTCTACTAAGTATCTCATCACTCCTGCAAACAGGAAGGGGGCCAGAGCAAATTACAGTGCCTGACATTGTACTTGCGAGTTCACACACCTCTTTAACATTAATTTTGGTGATCTCCGACTGGCGAAGTCGAACATAATTAGTGCCGATGTGAATAATAATCTTAGAGAATTTACGATTAGCATTAGCCAGCACTTTTAAATTTGCTTTGATGTCAGGCGTTCTGGCTCCCGGCAAACATGTGACTATGGTGGCTGGTGTCTCTATTTTCACCTTCTGTGTAATAGAATAACTAGGGCACATTCAACAGGATTCTCAGTGGGTGCTTCACTGAGAGGGGAGAACCTGTTTAATGTTGTTATCGGAACGGAAGAGTGGTGTTTTGTCCCGCGACTACTACGTCTCACAGTCACCCAGTTGCCCTGATGCACGGGCTCTACAGCCGGAACCGAACAATGTACAGAGTTCACTAAGCTAGTCGCATCCAAAGCAGTATTCTAAAGCCCTTGCATTCTTACTATCCTCGATTAAAGTTTGGATGCGTGTCTCTAGTTCTGAAATCTTCTCCGTTAGCCTGACTGTCTCCCTGCATTTTTCACATGTAAATCATTCAACGCTGACAGAGAATGCTATACTATACATGTGACATGAAGTGCAAGTGACAATAACTGGAGAAGACATTACTCACCGTGTTTGCTGACTGATTCTACTTACCTTAGTTGCTTGATAGACTCATAAAAGACGCGAGCGCGTGAGAGAAAGGAAAAAAAAGATGGCAAGCACGGATGGCAGGTTAACAGGCTAGCAAGATACTAGCGCGTTGTGCTAGCGATAATGATTTAGATAAAAGCGATGTCAGATTAATGTGATAGGCAATATTAGACAATATCTAATATATGTTGATTAATAAGTTAAATTTAGCAAATAAGAACAGAAAGGAATGATAGTAAATAGAGATTCAAACAGAAAACTATACGGAGCTTACAGACGCAGACCAGCAGCAAGGCAGACAGAGCAATCGTCAGCAATAAATCAACCTAACGTGCTTCTGGCTTCGTGTCCATCCCGATGGCTGCCATGTATAGCTCAAATTGCTGCCTGAAACTGTGCCAGTTGCAATCAACATTTCCTGTGAGCTTCAAATTCTCCGGTGGTCTCAAAGTATCCATCTTGTTGCTTTCACAACAGGTAATCTTTGGATGATTTCACTCCTGGTACCATGTTTTGTTTAATACTTTCTTAATTAAACAATCTGCAGTGCAGTAACAACAAGTGTTTTTTTATTTCTACATGTGCCCAGTTTCTTCTGCACCTATCATTGTATGTTACAACACACATCACATAGCACACAGTGACCTCTAGTGGTTTTCTCAGGTAACAACATAATCTGATATCATTACACCCACCACCACCAGGTTGGTCCCTGTTCATCTGTCTGTGGTAGGCTTCGCCCCTGCCTTTATCTTCAGGCAGGATCAGCCAAATCTGCATTCCCCAGGATTTGGACTAAGGACGGGGCCTACACCAAATAACTTTTTTAGACAACTAGACATAAATCATTGTAGCTCACTACCATTTGTTAATACTTTATGAAATAAATACCACAAAACGTTCACCTGCCCTCTGAGTCTTTCTGGTAGAATCCGTTTAACTCAGATATATATCACAATAGGGAATAAAAGACTATCACAACTTTTGTTTCATGCTGACTTTAAACGGAAGAGGCTCAGTGTTCAAAGTGAATGTTGGGATTTGAGGGATCTAGTCTTGAGATGGGTCTTAAGGGGGCTGGCAATGAAGTCCAACTCTGGCTGGTATAGACCTGCCCGTTGGCTACGTAGGAAGAATCTTAAAAACATATTTATAAATCATCTTTCATTCACATTGGGGCAAGTTCACCTAACATTTGCCACTTCAGTGTACATTATTTTACAGTCATTCTTCTCAAAAACACCTATTTTCGGCTCGTTAGAGAATGTTATAGAATGCTGTATTCACAAAACTCAGCATAATTATGTAAAGATACCTGCTGTAAAAAATGACAGAATCATTCAGCTCATTTATGTGAAGAAAACTAAAAAAGTTTCAGGTGTTGTTCTGATCAAAGGCATATAATGACATCATGTCCAGTCTTTTGAAACATATGGCCAAAGGTCACATCCTTATATTCAGAAAACATGCTGTTTACTCATCATTTACAATAGTGGCTGGTTTCGTTGCCATGACCACACAAGAAAAAAAAAACATGCCATTCAAGTATTGCAGCCTGGAAAGTTTCTACTTATGAGCTTAGAAATCATTATTGTGTGATATGCGTTTGGTCTGAATAATATGGACGTGATGACCAATTTCATATTTCTTTCTCTCTTTTTTATTTTCCAACAAAAGGTAGAAAGCCTTTTAGCGCAACTACAAACATTAAAAGCAAAAGACGTGCAGTAGATGAGTAATCAATGCTTTATATCACTTGATCGGCGAAAGAAATGTGTAGGCTCCTGAGCTTCCCACCAGTAATTGTTGGTGCCGTTCAAGCGCTCATCTCGTAAATACCATCAATCTGACCTGACTTAGCGTAATCGCTTCACGAAGAACTAAGATTTAAGAGGGAACGATTTCACCTAGAGGAGAGACAAATATGCCTTAAAGTCCTGAGCGTCCTCAGAGGGCAACTTCAGCTGTCTTGGGGCGTTTAGATTTTGCAGCTGTGAAGACAAGTGGCTCAAACAGGCCGTCAGCACCAGAAACAGCAGCCGCCCATCAGAGATACAAGAGCTGACAGCCCTGATTTAGCAGCCGCCGTATCAATGAGAGAGAGACGGGGAGATGCCGATTACAGCAGTCTACTCAACTTATTTCTGCTCTTCATTAAAGCAGATGCACCCACACATAGTTCAGATTTTCATAATCACACTCAC